AGCATTAGTATGAAATGTTTCTATTTGTTATAAAAAACCCCATATAGATATACAATTTATAAATCTAGATATATATACTTGTATGTGCATACTTGCATTTTTCTGGAAGGAAATTGTTAACACTGGTTTCCCCCAGGCAGGGAGATTGATAGTGTTAGGAAGGAGACCTACTATTCATGGCTTATTTTTACTTGCAGACCTGTTAGTTTTCCACTTTGAGCAGCAGTGGAGCGTGGCAGTTGAAAGCCTAGACTCTGGAATCTGAATACGTGTGTTCAAATCCCAGCTCTAACATTTACTAGCTGTGTGGCTTTGGGGTTAACTTAACTGTTCTGCTCCTCATCTGTAAAAGGTGTAATAGTACCTTCCTCCTTGGATGGTTATAAGAGTTGAATGAGTTAATAGGGGTAAAGTGCTTAGAACAGCCTAAACAATGCCACGTATGTGTTTTCTAGAATTAGTGAAAGGAGAGATTAAACAACAACAACAAAATGCATCTTGATCAAAAGGACCACCAGTGTTGGAAGAACGTTATAAAATGTCACTGTTTCCAGCATTGTATGTTGTGTAAAAGTTATGTTTGAGGCAGGAATGGCAAAGCAGTGGCCTTGTTTACCTTGCTGTCATTTTATCCGAGCTTGAGTACTTTTAAAGAGGGCACCTCTCTAGGATTCCTGATGGACTGTTGTAATGCTGAAGTGGCTCCTCTTCTAGTACATTCCAGGGAATGCGCAAGAGCAGAACGTACGCTAGGCCAGGTAGAACATCTGTGAGATGGAATTCCATATCCTTAGCTGTTAAAGGGCAGAAAGGGACTTTCTAGAAATTCAAGTTTAAAGAGGGTGGCCATGCCCATGACAGTTGTGACATGCGTGTTCACATGCCTCACATCTCTGCTCTTCTTTTGAAAAAAGAGACTGACAGAGACCTGGGAAGGGGCTGTCCTAGGAGGGTCCCTGATACTTTGGGCTCAGAAATCTCCTGGCCATACAAAGTGGGGAAGATGATGGACCTCGTCCCGCATACAAAGTGCGTGTTCACAGGTGCAGGAAGCAGAGGGCTGTATGTTCAAAACTATCTGCTTTTTTCCTCCTCTTTTGGCTGTGCTTCGGGGCAGGCCTGGAGAACTGTAGCTGACTTTGGGAACCCTCCTTTGAAGTTGGCCACACTTTGAGCTAGGCTTGAACCCCTCACGGTGGGCACTGCAGAGACGGTGGGATGGGGTCTCTGGTCCCTTCAAATCGGCCCAGTTAGGAAACGTGCTCTCCATGAGGGAGGCAGAGCTGACCTGCTCCAACCTCATGCCCCAAGTCATTGGTTCCCCTGCTCTTCTGTCTGTCTGGCCTTTTGTTTCCACACTCTTGGGCACTGGAGTCTCCTTATCCATTTGGCCATCGGTTTCCCTCGCCATCTATCTGTCACATCCAACTGTGCTTCCATCTGCCCTTCCATCCCTCCTTCCCTCCTCCAGCCATCTGCCAGCTTCCCATCCATGCTTCAGACTGCTGGTATGTCTATCCATCCGTCCTTCCGTCGCACCGGGAGTCTGCGACTCCATCCGCTGGTCCATCCATCCCTCTACCTGTCCGTAGTCTGCCTTTCCCTCCCGCCGACCTCCTGCCCGGCCGCCCCGCCAGCCCCTGACCGTTCCTGTGTCCCTCTGGCCCCCGTGGCCCGCCAGTCCGTCCCTGGCCCCGGTCCGTGCCTCATCGGTCCCCCAGCCCGCCGTGGGCCGGCCTGCCTTTGTTCG